CTTCTTTCCTCTTCCTTTCACCCCCTCTCCTTCCTTCTTCCCTCCCTCCCTTCCAGCTAGCATGCTGCTTACTGCTGTGTAGTCAGGGCTGACCTTTTACTCACAATTCTCCTGCCTCAGCCTCAGACTTCTGAGTACTGGGATTGCAGCATGCAGTGCATTACATGCTTACATTCATCCCGCTTTTTAATTTTTTTCTGGAATTGATGTGAGTTTGAAGCAAGATGTCACGGAAGGAAGGCTGGGGAACTAGACATGGTTTTGTGTCAGTCCTCAACGTCCTCATTCTGGATCTCCATTCTTCTACTGGGCGCATGAGGTTTACACTGTATTACGTCTAGTCACAGCTACACAACTCCCTGCCAATGAAACTTGATTGCAAGCAACATCCTCCACTACCCAATGAAACCCTCTTGATATCCTGCATACGACTTATTGCATTGCCCGCTGTGGAGCAGCATTACAGAAGGTGGAGGCTCCATGACCAAGACAAACCTGGGTCCATACACCTGGTTGTTAAATGTGAGCCGTGGCTGGTCTTTGCTGTTTTATGTTTTGATTCAGGGCCTGTTCCTTACAGTACTTGCTGACTGATACAGACCTTGCTGGATATGCTAAGGAATTCAGAGTTTTTGCTGATCAGTCTGAATTGCAAAAGGGATTTTTGCTAGTATGTTTTGCCTAAGTAGATAACAGGCTTTGGCCAAACAAAACTCTCCCTGTTTTGGATGACACACGTTAATTAAGTCACTTGTTAATAAAAGTAATTTTTTATAGTGATGGGTCATTTCTAAATCTTGACTATGGGGATTATTATATTAAATGGTAGACTGTCCTTTTTGGTTTGCTATTGCTGTGATAAAGATGTGGTGAGCAAAAACAACCTGGTATACATGTCCTGATCACTGTCCTGAGAGTAGTCAATGCAGGAACTGAAGCAGGGCAGTAATCTAGAGGCAGGAACTGAAGCAAAAAACACAGAAGAATGTTTGCTATATTGCTCAGCACAAGTTGGCAAAAAACTAAATAGCACACATAACAAAATGTCACATAATTTGACATGAAGATAGACCAAGCAGAGGAAAGAAAATGAACACATTTCCAAATTGGTAAAAACCTTCCTACTGACTCTGATCTAACATATTTAGTGTTGTCAGTGTTGAGATTTTCAGGCTTTGATAATGTACTATGCATAGCTAGGATATCTCCACTTTGGGGAGCTGGATGATGGGCACATGAGACCCTCTAAACCAGTTTTGACTTCTTGCAAGTCTCGCACTACTTCCAAATAAAAACACATGCATTAAACCAGTACAGTGATTTGTGACCTGCTCTAGATCAGTCACTGGCAGGTTGAACCTCTTGCCTTCCCTCCCCGATAATCTACAATTTTGCACTTCAGAATGAGTTCTGTCCATTGCCTATCCACCAGGCTACACCTTTCTTCTAAGTTTGCTAGGCAATCAGGAGAGTAAGCCCCCTTTCCAGCACAGGAGTAAACACAAACCCCTATGTTAATTCCCAAAGTCACATTCTTGTCCCCACTGAAATTCACTGAGTTGCATACAGTTTTTCAGAAGCAAGAAACCTGATATCCAGGGCAGGAGAACTCTTTGAATAATAGTGTGTGGACTGGAGTCTCTATCCCCAGGAGCCTAGTAACCAGCATCTCATGGATTAGTTGGGTGACCCCTTGCTCCCCCTGGATATATATGTCTTGGTTTTGTTCTTATTAGCAATGGCAGCTAAGTGCTATATTTTGAAGAAAAAAAAGTGGAAGGGGACCAAAAGATAACCTACCAATTTTAAGTTACATGTAGAGAGGAATGTGTGGGTCACTTGGCTCCACCATCATTTTTCTTGGATTGCTTTGGGGTCACCATCTGGGAATGTTCTCCCTGTTTTATGAGGGAAATATGTACATGTATTTTCATAATGTGTAGCATGCATATCCTTTGGGGTTTCCAGGAAGGAATGCTGTCTTTAACAAATGCCTGACTTTTCTTTGTGATGTAGTTGCATTTCTGTAGGATTCTGTATATTGCAATGATTGTTTTGCCCTGGGTAAAGGGGGATGGGAAGCATGGGAGTTAGGGGCTGGTGATGGGGGCTGACAGTTCATCTGGTTGTTTTAAAGGTCTAATCAAGTGCTTGAGTGTTATCATGCACAAGAATGTAGGGAATACAAGTCAACTATCAACAAATTTTATATGCTTAGTAGAATTTCAACCTATTGGATAAGTACTGCTTACTGGACAGAAAAATGAGCAAACGAACAAGCAAGAAAACTGTGGGATTTGCTTATCATTTTGAGACCCCATGGCTTTACACAGATGTGACCTTACTCTGCTTCTTTCAGGTGCCATGGTAGCAGCTCAGGTGTCTCTTTGTGGCTTCCATCTGCTTGTGCAGCCTTGGCTACTTTGAACTCCTGATCTTCCTTCCTTTCCCACACCACCATACCTCTTTCTACTTGTTTTTATTTTATTATTGTTGTTTTCCTTTCATTTTTTAAATTTAAATTAAAAACAAGCTTGCTTCACATGTCAATCCCAACTCCCTCTCCCTCCCCTACTCCCTCCTGCCCCCTAACCCCTCAGCCCCATCCCCCCTCTGATCCCCAGGGAGGGTGAGGCCTTCCATGGGGCATCTTCAAAGTCTGTCATATCATCCTGGGTAGGGCCTAGGCCCTCCCCCATGTGTCCAGGCTGAGAGAGCATCCCTCCATTCTACTTGTTTTTTAAAAAAGATTTATTTTGGTTTTAATTGTGTGTAGGTAATGTACACATGAGGGTAGGTACCCCACTGAGACCAGAGTCATTGGATCCCCTGGTTGGAGTTGCAGGTGGTTGTGAGTCACCTGACGTGAGGTCAGGTCCTTTGTAAGAGCAGTGTGCTGAGCCAGCTCCAGTGCCTCTACATTTTTCTTTATACAGTGAGGGTTATAGCTGCGCCTTGTGTGACCCATCCAACTCTATGACTCCCTAACTAGGAGAACTAAGAGCACCCTCTGCTGACATCCTTGCTTTCCTAGATCCTGTTGATGCTTTCCTTCCAAGACAACAACATTTCAGTATCTGCCATTGTCACCCCAAATTAGGACTTTCTACTTACAACAGACAAATCTTGTCACAGCCACTGGCGTGTTGTTGTATCTGGGGAAACCACTTAATCTCTCTGTTCTACTTCTTCCTAAACTTTGGACTCTGTTATATAGATTCTAGTGTCAGTGATCTGGTCTGATGCGGTCTTCGAAGAGGGTCTTTGGAAGTCATTCTCATCATGTATCACCACTCTTATTGCAACGTTGCATTAGAGTAAGAACTTGACACAGGAGATACCTCCTCCTAGTTAACTTTACTGAATATCTTCATTAGGACTTATTGGTAGTTAATTCATCTTTTGCAATCGAGGAAACTGAGGCTCAGAAATGTTAAATGGTCCAAAGTAAGTATGATTTCTGCAGTCACTGGTTTATGATCTTTGCTCAAAGCTTATGAGTTGGGTTAAAGCCCAGCACAGAGGCAGCCAAGCTAAGCTGGCTACTGCTCAGCCCAGCCCAAATCCATTCCGAGTAAGACAGCCTGCATCTGCTTCACGGCATTGGAGGGGTCCTGCTATTCTCCTTAGTCTGACTTACACATCACAGTCTAGACTAGAATTCCCAAATTTACCATTTGTTTCATGAGGTTTCTGTACCTGAGCAAATAGGTAGTGCTGGACATTCTTAGAAGAATTAGGTAGGTCTCAGAAAGAGGTAGTATCTAACCTTGTTCCCCACAGTCCACTCAGACTTAAAAGTTTAAAGTACTCTGTAAACATGAGGTCTTGTAAGAATAACCCTGAGGTCTATCTATGCAGAATCCTGCCAGGATGACAGTATCCACTAGACTGTGCCCGATCCTGATCCCTCTAGTAAGACTGATTTGGAGTCAGCCCTTTCCCATTCATTGCTCTGTATCTCCTTGAAGAGTTGGGCATAGTATTCCCTGCTGTTCAGTATTTTTAAGGATCCATTTTAAATATGAGTATGTGTGTGTGTGCATACATGCTCTTGCACAAATGCAGGTGGATATCTTTGGAGGCCAAAAGAGCATCAGATCCCCTGCAGCTGGAGTTACAGGCATTTGTGAGCTGATGAATATGTTAAGAACCAAACTCTGGTCTTCTGGAAGAGCAACAAGTGCTCTTAACTGCTGAGCCTTCTCTCCAGCACCTTGCTACTGCTGTTGTTTTTAGTGTAGAGTCTTTCTCTTGCTTGGAATTTCTAAGTAGACTACACTGGCTGATTAGCAAGCCCTGGGGATTCTCCTGTCTCCACCTTCCCAGTGCTTGGATTGCAAGCATGTGTCATCACAGCTGGCTTGTAGTCACACATAAGTTCTAGGAATCAAATCACATTCTCTTGATTATATGGCAAGAAACTTCCTAACTGGTCATCTCTCCAGCCCCACCTTGAATTTATTTAGTTACAAAAACTTCTCACCATATCACCTCCTTTGGCCTTAAACTCACCCAGGCTGACCTGAAGCTCATGACCTGCTCAGGTGTCCGGATTACAATCATATACCACTACCCCTGGCTGGATTGTCTTTAAGGGTGATGTAGGCTTAGTGGAAGTGTTGCAGAGATTACAGTGTTGTTCATTCCTTGTGACCAGGCTTGCTCTTGGCGCCCACCCCCATAGATGCAGCTCTTTGGAGCACATATTTAAAGATAACATGAGCTAGAAGACTCCTTGGAGCCCCTTCCATGTACTGAGTGAAGCCATGCACAACCCCCAGCCTGGAGCTTCAGCCGAGCCCCAGCCTCACGGGCTCCCCGGACTTGGCAGTAAAAGCTGTGTTCTTCCATTCATTCTGATGATGTATCGTCTCTCTGGGCGTCTAATATGAAACGGGGGAATTCCGACATGTTCCATAACGCATTTACTGTAACTTGATACCACGAACTATACTTGCTGTTATTTATCATTTCTTTTTTATTTTCTCTCATTCCAGCACAAAGCCAAGGTAGAAGCAATGACCCTGGACCTGGCCGTGCTCCGTAGCGTGCAACATTTTGCTGAAGCGTTCAAGGCCAAGAATATGTGAGTGCTTCAGTGTGGGTTATACATCATAATTCCTTGCTATTGTAATGTCTTTATCAGATGAACACTATCAGGAGAACGCAAGGCTGCAGTGCTGTCTTGGCATCCAAACCGGAGGCTCATTTATATTGGCACTGTTAAGGTGGACTGTATTTGTTTGACTCTGAGTCACCCTCATTATGAGATATGTCATCAATCTAATAACAGCTTCACAGACCAAAAGGAGAAGACAAGACATTGTTAACACACATAAGGCTGGCACACACTAGGACAGTTTTAAGATGTGCCCTGTTAAAAACATGTTGCTGTGCATCTCTCAGACCAGAGAAAAAGTGTACCTCAAGGGCATTCAGGAACCTCACTGATTCTGCATGGACAGGGCTTAACCCCTGAGCATACTCTCTAGTGCTATGCAAGCCTCTGATGCTTCGACACGGGGCGTGGATGTAGCTCTGGACACAGATGCAGGCTGTAAGACTCTGGGGCCTTTCCAGCCCCTAGTGCGTCCTCATACCACAATCCTGGTTGGAGTCTTACAGTCACTGCATCTGCTGACTTTGGAAGTGAGCATTCTTCATCAACTCTTCAAAATGCCATAGTATGGGGAGAGGGCTGTCTACTCTACTACCCTCCAGCAAACTCCGTTCCCTATAGAGAAAGAAATCAGAGAAGAGAAATGAAGACAAGAAAGAAAGAAGGAAGGGAGAGGGAGGGCGTGAAGCAGAGACTTGGGCTCCATGCTAATGAAAGCAATGGTGGCTAGCTATGTTGTAATTATAGTATTTTGTTTCCAAGGTTTATTTTTATGGTTGCCTCCATAGGGCAGGCAGTACTGGTTTCTCATTTACCATAGTGGTTTTGGTTTCATTAATAAATAACTTCACTTAATTTTATTTTCCAGTGAGGTGACTGAAGCATGAGGATTAAGTTAATCATAGCCCCGGTGGTGCCAAGGGGGAAATAATGGTGTGAGTGATTCCAGCATGACTGGACTGTTAGGGCTCAGACTAGGCCATGCTGAAGTTCCCTGAGCAGAAGAGAGGCTGGGGAAGGGATCTTCAACCAGGTATTCAAATGCTACTGTGTTGCCTGGTTACTCATCCTGGGCCACTCTGGTCTTTTAGACCATCACAGTATTTGATCTTTGCAGAGTAAGCAAGTGAACTACATCCTATTCATAGTAATATAGATTTATATCACTCCCAAGTGAAGACCCTTCACCGACTCATAGGCAGAGCTAGCTCCACCCTGCCCCGGCCCTGTCAGTCAGAAATGTGAGCCCCATCATGAGCTCCTCCAGGTGCTGTGTCCTCACTAGCTGCCACCCCTGGCCAGAGCTATGAAAGGGGCTGGAGACCAGGACAGCGCCGACTCCCACAATTCTTCATCACCCTCGTCATTTGTTTGTCTACTTATCCACTCACCTAATGGGCATTTGCTGAGCACATTCTTCTGGGAGGACATTGCTGGCCACTGGAAACCAAGGTGACATCAGATAAGCATAGTCTTAGGTGTCAGCATGCCTTGTTTTATTACTGATACTGACTCCTATAGTTGTAGAGGGACAACATTACTAGCAACAGAAGTAGCAGCTCATTTCAGGGTTCCAGTAGGGGCACACATATTTAGAATTCCTTGCCTGCACCTTCTGGTTCAGTTCTGAAAGCACTTTCATGGTGGGAGTGACTGTATTCATTACAAATATGAGGAAAATGAGGCTAGAAAGATAGGGTAAGAAACACATAGACAGCATTTGGTAAATAATGGGGCCAGGGCCCTATGTGATCTATCATACCAGGATTCCTTCTTAGCTACTCTGTGCTGTTGTCCTTTATTGTAAAGACAATAGAAACTTGTACTCAGAAAACTAGTGAATTTCTTAGGGACACCTGGCAGTTGATTGCAGATAGAGTTCTGCCCATTCTAACTTTCCCTTCCTCCCCGGTACCCACTGCTCTGATTAGGTCTTGAAGTGAGTGGCTTTGCTGAAGAGAGCTGACTGTTTGATCATAGCCCCCTTCTCCATAGCTCAAAGCAGTCATTAGATTTTATCCAGTAAATAGATCAGAAAGCTTCACACATAAGGGCCTTTTATAATCACAGACCCAAACTCTTGGAGGCAAAGATTGCCCATTTTGAACTAATCTTTGGTTTTCAACACTTGTATGTTCAGGCCCAAGGGCAAGGCTTCCATTAGACTAAGGCTTAGGAACTATTCTTTCTGTGCCTTAGGAGTATAGAATTGCGCACAGTGTGGAGAAATACTGCCGTACAGAAAAATACGTATAAAGAAGTGAGTGATTTTTCCCTTTTGACATACTGCCAGTTCCGAAATCTCCCCTGGAAAGGCAAATGACAGCTCAGTGCTAACGGTCTTCAGATTCAGAGAGCTGTCACAAGTGAATTTAAGTGCTGGTGACCAGGCTGCCAGAAAAACATGTGTAACTCTAGTCTTATCATCACCTCCCATCTTTAGACATTAAAATTTCCTTGTGTGTAAAACATAATGACAAATGAAAGAAAGCCTGCCAGCTCAGAACCAGTTCCCTTTTTCATGCACTTGGACCAAAGAAAGGAAAAGCCCTTCAACGTAAATTCCACGTGGACGCTCCATTATGCTCCATTTAATAGATCTTTTCACAGCTTGCACATGAGCACCTTGGAATGCCATCAGGCTCCGCGCCATCTTCAGTACAAGTGTGACCTCTCACCTTGGGATGGGAAGTGCATTTATTTTGGAGATGGCAAAAATAAAAGCTGAAGGCAAAGCAGCGGTGGAAAGCGCAGCCTGTCACATATGCTGCAGAGCTGGCCTCTCCCTGCCTTGCGGAGACTTGCAATCAGCATCTGTAGATGACTTCTCTTTGGAGGATCGGGTGGGGGAGAAGAAGACTGTTACAGAGTGAGTGTGCCTGATGACTGTTATGGAAGCTGTAGGGACTAGCCACCTCCCCCCTTTTTTGTCAACTCTATGCATGCCAACACGTTAAACTCTTTTCCTGTTTTGTGTGTACATATATAGGTGTGTATGTTCATGTGTGCACGTGGAGGCTGGAGGTTGACATTGAATGTCTTCCTCAGCTACTCTCCACTTAATATTTTTCAGGCAGGGTCCCTTCACTGAACCTGGAGATGGTTTCTTGGCTAGACTAGCCTGCTAGCAAGCTCCAGGGTTCCTCCTATCTCTGCTTGCCCAGCACTGGGATTACAAGTGAGTCTCCCTCTGTCTGGCTGTCTAGTGTGCGGTGGTTTGAATGAGAATGGTCCTCCATAGGCTTATGTTTGAATTCTTGGTTCTCAGTTGGTAGAACTCTTTGGGAAGGATCGGGAGGTGTGGCCTTGGAGAAGGTGTGTTACTAGGGTCAGGCTTTGAGATTTCACAAGACTCTCACCAGTCCCAGTGTGCTTTCTCTGTCCTTTGCTTGTGGATCAAGCTATAAGTGCTGAGTTTTTGCTCCCGCGCCATGCCTGCCTACTTGCTTCCATGTTCCCCACCATGATGGTCGTGGATTCTAACCCTCTGAAACTGTAAGCCCCAAATAAATTTGTTCTATAAGTTGCCTTGGCTGTGGTGTCTTGGCATAATAATAGAAAAGTAACTAAGGCAATATGGATTCTGGGTGATCAAACTCAGGTTCTTGTGCTTGTGTAGCAAGTACCTCACTGACAGCCGTCTCCTTAGCTCCTGTGCAAAGGTCTTATACACATATTCTCTGTTGGCTTCTTACACATTATCACCAGCTTACCAAATCAGAAGGTCCAAGCACACAGAGTTCAAGTCACTTTTCTGGTGAATCGTGTGTTTTATGGAGAATTTGAACCTAAGATCATCCACATCCAGACACATAAAGGACACATGACTGCTTGCCACGGCTGTTCTCCTGCCAGGACTGTTCTCCTGAGGATCTGTGCAGATTGCCTGCTCAATTTGCCTCCTCCACTCATTTGCTCATTGTCTTTTTCAGTCATTTCTTCTGTTATTCTCCACTAACTCTTCAGGGTGGTCAGCTCAGGATCCTCAATCTGCTTCTAGATATTTCTCCCCAGAGTTAGTGGTGGTCAGCCAGTGTGTCTCGGGCCAAATTATTCTGGGAATTACTGGAAAGTTCCAAACCAAAGACTGTGGCAGTTTCCCGCCAAGCTTAATTTTTTTTTTTTACAGATATTTTGGTTTAGATTGGCATTCAGAAAGGGAACCAGATTCCACAGTGCTGGTAGGCAAGGGTATCTGTCAGTGAGGAGCAGCTGGAGCAATTCCCTTTGTGATAATTACCCAGGCTGGTCATCTGGGTGCCCTGTGACAGACTCCAAAGCCTCCACTTTTTGGTGATGGCTTCTTGTGCATTCTCAATCTGCCTGTTTCATTTACCAGAATAGAAAACCTACATCTTGAGGCCTAAAACAGCTGGGTGATCCAAGGACAAGATGTTCCAGAAGCATGTTCTTTCTCACCAGAGTTCTGTCATTCCCAATAAAATGGAAGGCTGCACTCCAATTCTGCAATTTTAAAAGTTGGTAATGGCACACCATAAAGGACATTGGTTACCAGGATTCTCGTTACCAGCCAGCTCTCATTCGTCCTGGAAGAGAACTGCAATTGATAGAAAATTCATATTAACATAGTTGTGTAATTCTGAAGGTTTCTATAACTCCATTTTTCATCATGGGTTTCTATTTCTTGTCTCAGCTTTCTGTCTCTAGTATAATTTAAATAAATTAGACTTCATTTCACCAAGAAAATCATACTGAAATATGTTTTACTTAAAGGTTAAAATAAAGGTTTTTCTATCCTGTACTTATTAAACATTTGAGGAGAAAAATCTTTAGCAAAGCTGTTTATTTTTACTTTCCACTAGAAGACTTTCAGAACTTGAGCTACTAACCAGGATATTATATTCTTGGATTCATATTCCAGAGTTCTGACTGTTTTCCATCTATAGAAGTGGGTGGGCTATAAATTATTAAATAAAACCCCAAATTTGAGGGATAAATTACCCAGA